ACCCCGACCCTAAACCCTAAACTCATTAACAACAACAAAAACCCTATGACCCCAAACCACGTGTGTGGTATGCATGAGTCATTGTGGCCAGTAGTCGGGGGTGGTTCACCGATCGCCCCTAACCGGTCAACCACCCTTGTTTGGGGCTTCATTTTGCCGACGCGACTAGTATATAACCGTAGACCCGATCCAGTTCAACTTCACAATCTCAGTCTCACCGATTTAGTTTTTGCGTATTAGAGCCGCTGGTCCAAATCCCTCGAACGATGACTGCCCCTACTCTGTTTAACTTATCACACGATTGTCTCCGACGCATTCTTGGTTTTCTTAATCCTCCGAGTGCGCTGGAACTGTGCGTAGCGTACGCACGACCCGAAATGATGGATTGGTTTTACGAAGACGGAGGAGTGTACACCTACGACGGGACAGATCATTTTCTACCCCCTAGACATGTTAAACATTTGCGCTATACTGGCGTATCACCGAATGTCGACGAATTGGCTGCATACACCAGCCTGCGCAGACTCGAGCTGAAGGATACCGAGGTGACGAATGTTGACACCCTAGCCGCGTGCACTAGCTTGCACACACTCGACCTAAACTATACCCAGGTGACGAACGTTAACACCCTAGCTGCGTGCACTAGCTTACACACACTCAAGCTGAAGTATACCAAAATAACGAACGTTGACGCCCTAGCTGCGTGCACTAGCCTCCACACGCTCAACCTAAACCATACCCAGGTGACGAATGTTGACGCCCTAGCTGCGAGCATTAGCTTGCACACACTCAGCCTGTTTATGACCGAGGTAACAAACGTCGACGCCCTGGCTGCATGTACCAGCCTGCACACACTTAGCCTGAGTGTTACCGGGGTAACAAATGTTGACGCCCTGGCTGCGTGTACCAGCCTGCACACACTTATCCTGTTTATGACCAAGGTGACAAACGTTGACGCCCTGGCTGCGTGCCCTAGCCTGCACACACTCGACCTAAACCATACCCAGGTGACGAATGTTGACGCCCTAGCTGCGAGCATTAGCTTGCACACACTCGACCTAAGCTATACCCAGGTGACGAACGTTGACACCCTAGCTGCGAGCATTAGCTTGTACACACTCGACCTAAACGATACCCAGGTGACGAACGTTGACGCCCTAGCTGCGTGCACTAGCCTGCATACGCTCAACCTAAAATATACCCTGGTGACGAACGTTGACGCCCTAGCTGCGTGTACTAGCTTGCGCATCCTTAGCCTGTACTTGACCGTCATAGAGAACGTTGACACCCTAGCTGCGTGCACTAGCTTACACACACTCGACCTGAGTTATACCCAGGTGACAAACGTCGACGCCCTGGCTGCGTGCCCTAGCCTGCACACACTCAGCCTACACGATACCCAGGTGACAAACGTCGACGCCCTGGCTGCAAGTACCAGCCTGCACACACTTAACCTGAGGGAAACCGATGTGACAAATGTTGACGCCCTGGCTGCATGCGCTAGCTTACACACACTCCGCCTAAACGATACCCAAGTGACGAACGTTGACGCCCTAGCTGCGAGCACTAGCTTGCACACACTTGGCCTGAGTGAGTACCCAGGTGACAAACGTTGACGCCCTGGCTGCATGTACCAGCCTGCACACACTTAACCTGAGTGTTACCG